ATTTTTTTTTTAAGTTATAAGAGTAGTTCATTAACAAAGTAAGAATTTAAAAATGCAGAAAAATGAAAAAAAAGTAAAAGCCACCCATAATTTTATTTAAATAAACTAGTTCCAAAAGATGTGTTTTTCTGTGGGTTGAATACTTTGGCTCATGAAATAATGATGTGTTATTCATGTTTGCCTAGTGAAGATGCCAAAATTTATGGCATCTTTTTAGTTTGCTATTTAGTTTGCTGGATTACTTCTCCTAGCTATTTCACATGAGCAGCCAGGACAGGTGCGTATATGTGATTCCAGTGGAATGCAGTTCATTTCAGAAAAGACCAGTTGTTGATTCCTTGTGTTGAGGTTCCTCTTTTCTTGTGTAACTACCTTTAATAAAAAATCCCTTTTTATTTACGCTGACTCATTGTCGGGTTTAGAACCAACAGAAATGAAGAAAGTATATAATGCTCTTAATATGTGTTATATTTTCTTTCTTTTCCAGAAAGTATTTTGGAGAAAAAATTGGACTGTATTTTGCCTGGCTGGGATTATATACATCATTCCTCATCCCATCTTCTATAATTGGGGTGATTGTATTTCTTTATGGATGTGCAACAATTGAAGAAGATATTCCCAGGTAAGATGATTTTAAAGAAAAAGGCTCAATTCCCATGTTAGTAGTTTGGAGTTTCAGCCGAGTCGTAAGTACATTTCACACACCTCCTTCCAAAGTCCTCACCCTCTGTCTTTCTCTTACCATACACATGACTTTTCTCCAGAGACAGATCTGGGAGCTGCAGATCCTGGGAATGGCTTCAGAGCCATCCTGGACGTGGCCCACTTCCTTTCCTTGTCAAGCTCTTCTCCAGGGCCAAGGTCCAATGTGGACAGGCGGATAATACCTGATGAAAAAAAAATCATGCCTGAGAAATGCTTTTTCCCCTTAACTGCATGACTTTTTCCTCTGGTTTCCCATAAGATCAAGGCCTTGGGTAGAGATCAAATTCTATATGGTCAAACACTGTTGAGATAAAATACTGCAGGGCTGTCCGTAGAAACAGGCAGCCCTGGAGCTGAGGAAGGCCCAGCCTCTGGTTCAGGAGTCAGAATTTATAAGAGGTGACAAGCCTCATGGTGGGGTTCTTGGATAGCCAAGAGATGGAATAAAGGTTAGTCCTTATGGAGAAGAGAGAGCCTATCAAAAAAATAAGCACTTAAAAACAGCAACCTTCAGCACTGGCATCGTTAGTACTAGCTATGTAACTGGATAGTTCACTTCCTAAGTCTTAACTTCCTTGGCTGCAAAAATGGTAATAATAATATCTACTACCCGGTGTTATTGTGAGGATTAAAGTATATAATGCCTGGCACACAGGAGAGTATTAATAAATGATTTTCGAATGAATTAATATATGTGGAAATAGAGTAAAAGGGATAAAAGAGACATTTAGCCAATATTTAAAATTTAAATTTCTTTCCATCTTCGAGATGGAGAATGGTTAGTATATTTTAATGTTCTTTCAGTTGCAAGTGTAAAAATGCAACCTGAACTAGCTTAAGCAAAAAAGGAAATTTAGAAAGATTCTGTGGCCTCTCAGGGGACCTGATGGCAGGCATGCGGCTAACCTCAGGAACGACGGAAATGGGAACCGCTTCAGTGTACCTCCTGTCCGATTCTTTCTAGTATTTATTTGTTTCCTTTCAGATATTCTCCATTGGGTACAAACAATACTGATAATAGCTCATGGGTGTTATATTTTAGAGCTTTATACTCCATTGGTCCCAAGTGAAAAAGTCTATGGTTCATTTTGGCTTAGGTGGAGGCCCTGGGCCAACCAATTGTGGCTGTAGTACGGGATCACAGTGTACCAACAGAATGTCCCCTCAGTATCTAAGTGTATGAAGACACCGGGCAGAATATGAGAGTCCACTATAACTGGGGATACTACTGGGGGTAGTAATGGACATTCTGAAGAAAGGGCCAAAAGCTGTGCTCTTGAGGAAAGCATATCTACCAGCGACAGGGGCCAGCTGGCTCTTCTTGCCACTATGTCATTCTATAGAAATAGTCTTGCAAATTAGAGAAACTAGAGGTGGCATTGTCAATAGTTAGAATAAAGCGAAATTACTTGGTGTAGTCGTCACCCCTTATCTGCAGAAAATTAAGACCCTCAGTGGGTCCCTGAAACTGTGGATAGTACCAAACCCTATATACATTGTTTTTATCTTATACATACATATGCTAAAGTTTAATTTATAAATTAGGCACAATACTACTAATAAAATAGAACAATTATAACAATCTACTGTACTAAAAGTTATATGAATGTAGCCTCTCTCTCAAAATATCTTATTGTACTATCCTCATCATCCTTCTTGAGATAATGTGAGATGATACAGTGCCTATGCAGTGAGATGGACTGAGGTGAATGACACAGGCATTGTAACATAACATTAGGCTATATACTTTAACACAAGCACTATGATACCATGACAATCGATCTGATAACCAAGATGGCTACTAGATGACTAATGGGCGGGTAATGTATACAGCATGGAGGTGCTGGACAAAAAGATGATTCCTATCCCAAGTGGGACAAAGTGGGACAGCATAAGATTTCATCACTCTACCCAGAATAGTGTGCAATTTAAAACTCACAAATTGCTTATTTCTGGAATTTTCCATTTAATATTTTCAACCTGCGGTTTACCGTGGATAACAGAAACCACAGAAAGCAAAACCGTGGATAAGAAGGGACTACTGTATAAGAGGCAAAGGTTTGTATGTTTTTGTGTATAAAACCCTAGTATCATCTGTCCACTATTCTTGACCAGGAGTCTGGGACCTGTATCACAGGAGCTACGTTGTCAGGGTTCTGCTTTTCCCAGACCATCTTGCATGAGGAAAGAACTAATACCTAGCAAACACCAACCTGTGCCAGGCATGGTGCTAGGTGGTTTTATGTACTAGTTTCTTTGATCCTATAGAGATCAACATTGTAAACTCTATATGACAGGTACTTTTTCACCTAACAGAGATGGAGAAATTGGTGCTAACTGCAGTCACAGAACTTGGCCAACTTCAACAACTGATAATTGTCAGGGTTGAAATTTGACCTCTATTGCCTCCTGCTCCAAAGTCTTTCCTTTTTTCAATAAGCTGTGAAATCTTCCAGGGGCTCATGTCCTTCTCAGCAGCCCAGGTAGCTTCAATCAGCTTTGTCTGGTGTGTTCTCAGAAAATACAGCTCTTATGTGTCCCTTGCCCAGTTGTGATCCCTAGAGAGCTGGACCTCAGGTTGATCAGAACTGGAAAACTCTATACATTGCATGAAGGACCAATTCCAGTACAGTGTGTGGGGCGTTAGTCTGCTGGTTTACATCAGGACTTAGAAGTTGTGCCCTGGGTCCCCATATGGGAATACATGTGACAGTGACCACTGCTGCTGGAAATGACCATGGTCTATACATGCTGCAAAGATACATGTTTTGCACATGCATACTCACTCATATATGTGCAGGCATATATGTATGTAAAATGAGATTATTATCATTGTAGATGTATCATATTGCTTGTCAAAGTATGTGATGTTTTACAAACTGTGGGTAGCAACCCATTAATGGATTATGGAATCAATTTAATGGTTATCTATTAAATGCACTAGAACAAGATAGGATAGAGTGGAATGAAATGCAGTATTAGTTTTCATCACAAGAAGGAAGTATAAGGAGTGTTGCATGAGATTTTATTTAGTTATGTAAGAGTGTTTATTAGGAAAGGATATGTATATATTTGCATACTGGAATCTGATAGAAAAGACTTTTTCAAACTGTAGGTCGCAGTCAAAAAAGTATGAAATTTACTGTTATAAAATTGAAATTTTGGTCGTTGGTTTTTCAGATTCAGGGTAGGATATGGCAAATCAAGAAGGTGTAAACGATAGAAAAAAATTAAGTATTTTATTGATTTTTTTTTAAAGAACTGTTGTTGAATCATAATTGTATGTCCATCCAAAGTTCAAGCTCCGTGGGCCTGATGAAAATTCACAAAATATCACTCCTCATCAACGAAAGAATGGTGTCCAAATCCCAATACTGAATCTAAACAAATTCAAACCCTCTCAGGATCTGTGTCTATCAGCCACTAACAATCATGATTAAAAACTTGCACTATTCCTGAGATTATTTTAGAGATTTCTAATTTGGGCATTAAGCTTGGAAGTTACTATCTATGTATCACTTTTTAAAACCTTTTTATTTTGAAAACATTAGAGATTTACAGGAAGGTGCAAAGATAGTACGGAGGGGTATGATATACCCACCACCCAGTTTCCCCCAATAGTTGCGTCTTATATAACTGTAGTACAATATCAAAACCAGAAAATTTATATTATGTGAAACTTTAAATGGGACCTTTTATTACCAATAACTTTGATATGTGAGATACAAGTATCACTTGTAAGTAATAATTCCATATGTGCATGATACATCTATAGAACTTTCTTCTACTTACCAAAGGATTGATTTCATTTGTTAGGCATTTGTTTACATGGGTAGGAAAGACTGGAGCATTAAAAAGAAAGTCGATTAATCTAAACCATATTGAAAAAAAATTGATTACTTTTGAGGTTTGAGACCTCAATAGCAGATGTTCTTTCTGAATTTCCTGAATAATTGCCTGGTTGTACCTTCTTCCTTTGTGCAAGCACCTAATTTATGAGCAATGAGTCACTCATTAAAAACCACTCGCTTTGGGGGCTTATCAACCTTCTTGTGTTTTCTAGAGAAAATGATAGATTGAAGAAATACACTATGAGAGTAACTATAGTTACTTCTAACTAGAAATCTATGGATTATTTAGCTAGTTAATATCCTAGACATGATTTCAGTTCTAAGTGAGCTTCTGTCACCTTTCAACTTGTCTAGAGGCAACTTCTCTCAGAAAAAGTCATTTTAATGTCATCCTGAGGCAGAATTTCTCCAGAATTCTATTCAAATGGCTTGCATTAAAAACAAAAACAAAAAACTCAACTCAATAAATATAAAGAATTCAGACTTTGATAAATGCTATGGGGAATATCCATGTGATAGTGTCTGCCATTTTGTACAAATGATTGATAGTTGACTGTAGTCTAATTTTAAAAGCAATAATTTACACGGCGCTTAAGTTTCAAAGTGCTTTGCAACCAGTTGGTTGCTAATACTTTATTAATTTCAGACCTGTTAGCACTGACTAGATTGGATTAGGAATTAGGCTGACTGGGATTATCCCCCTACAATTTATGTGTAAAACAAACAAACAAACAAACAAACAACCCTGAACAACAAAGTCCCTATTACACATGCTCGAGGGGCAGCACTGAGAACTAATTCGTTCTCAGACATGGCTTAAAAGCACAACTCCTTACTAGAATTTGTACAGACCAACAATTTTCTGTGTGAAATTGTTTTCCAAGAGGGTACTCTCCTCTCTGAAAGTAGCAACTCCTCAACTATACAGCGAACACTGATCTGACCCAGAAGACAAAACAAACCTTGCCTTCTGGTTATTAATAAGAACTTGCCCAGGTGAATCTAGCATGGCTGAACTATTTGGTAAGATATTATTATTTAATATAGTCTATGTGAATGAGTCACTGCTATTGACACTTGCCAACAGAGATCTTAGCAGCGAGACAGTGGAGGAACTAGGATTTATCCTCAGAGACCTAGAGTTTCTCTTGCTTCACATAGAAGGCCTTTCCCTGCTGTGGACTTAATAACTCATTAAAAACAAGCCTGAAAGCTGGGACTTGATGGACAGTGACAGCCCTCAGGAAAACCCTTCAACTTCCTGGTGAAGGGAAACTAGATCCAGGCATCCTTTTGATTGCCAGGATAAATCTAAGCACTTGCTTCAGCACACAGGGTATACCAGCTTAGTCTGGCAAGTGGCCTCCCACTTGCCAGCCATGCTCTGTAGCACCCTCTGCTGCTTCTTTCCAGAGAAGACATAGCTGCTGTTTCAGCCTAGGATCTCCTGCATCCCCATCACTGTGTCTCTAACTGCTCTGTGAGAACATCCAATGCTTCATTTTCATGAAATCTTGAGTCCTCTACCCTTTTCCTCTAAATTGTGAGCTTAACCACTCCCCAGGGGGACTATTACACATCAGAGTGATGAGTTCATTCTTTTTCCTACCAATATATGGTATGGAGGGATATTGGGAAGCCAGTTAAGGCTCATAGTTCTTTGATTCTTATTTACAAGCCTTCATATGGACCTAAATTTAATGGATCCAGCTCATTACCTAATGAAGGAATGGAATTTCAGATATATCCATCAGTCCATTAAATAGAAATGTAATGAGAATACATTTACATTAGAATGTAAGTCATGGTTATTTGACTCATGCTTCCCTCTCCAAGTAGCAAAGAATCTAGACTTTGGAAGAATTTGCCTTTTTCTTTCATTCTCCCTAAACCCATTTCATGGTTATGATAAATTTTATTAGGTCAAGGTTATTAATCCCCATTCCACAAATAGTCTTGCAGCTGACACATTTAGAAAAGGTCTTCCAATCCAGATCTGACACCATTCTTATTCATGTGGCTTTTTCTTCTAAAGCTGAGAGCTTGTGTTCATCCATCCACATGCTCATGTTTGTTTCTCTTTGTGACTAGTCTCACACATTTGTGAGACAGACAGTAGGTTTAAGAAGATAGCCTATGTTTGAATGATGATGATGAACTCTAACTTCAGACTGGCGATTTATTCACAATTGTTGATGTTTTCCACCAACCTCATACACTCCACACATTTTGAAGAGGCTTTATAAGGCATCATTCAGTGTATACCATCTTTGACAGATAGTCATTACTTTCTTTTGGGACACTTCCATGACAGAGGGTTCCACACCTCTGAAGGTGGCCCATCCATTTTTTTTTTTTTAGACAAATTACAGAAATAACACTCTCAAGGTGAAGAATCCAGTTTCACCTTTTTAAATATACCTCATGTATGAAGTTGATAAGCTCAGTCATGGATGGATTCGGAAGTGGAAGAGTTTCGGGGGTGATTTATGTGGGATGAATTGTATTTGAGCTCTATCTGACCCAGTAGCTTCTGTCTGCTTCAGCAAAGAGATGTGTGACCAGCAGAATGCCTTCACCATGTGTCCCCTGTGTGACAAATCCTGTGACTATTGGAACCTCAGCTCAGCCTGTGGTACAGCACGGGCCAGCCACCTGTTTGACAACCCTGCCACTGTCTTCTTCTCCATCTTCATGGCTTTGTGGGGTAAGTGGTTATGGTTATTAGCCTTGCTTATGTGGGTGGTACTTTTAAATGGGTACAGTGGCCATGCTCTAATGGCTGTATTCTTCGGTTTACTTCCTTTAGCATTTAGTCTTTGTATCCAAGGTGGATTTTAGGATCAACAGATTTCTTTCCTTTACTCATATGTGAATAGAATTAGACATATTCTTATACTTTAGATATTCTTTAAAAAGATATAGTAATGTTAACCTTGTATTGGTCTCATGAATGATGTGTTCAGAATTTGAACTAACGCATGTTTTGAAATCCCCTAGCACACCCATATGGCACCTCCAAGAACAACTACTAAGACTTGCAAAGTTGTAGATATCATCCAAAGTAACACTCAGAGTGGTGGGATCATGGCCATGGTCACAGAGTTAGCTGATAGTGAAGGTCTAAACCTAGTCTCCTTACTCCAGGTTCAGTGCAATTCCTAAGATACCATGGGTGTAGACTGTAGAGATTTTACTAAATGTCAGAGTGTTGTTTTTAATATTCCCGGAACCGAAGGGATTTGTGAAGGAAAGAACAAATAGTTCTTTCATTGTTCTTCTCCTCCCCTCCACCTCCTAGAGTATCAGCATCATGGGTAATAAACTCTCTCTGGGCCCTAGCCATCTGACACCACACACACACACACTCACACACTCACACACACACACACACACTCACACACACTCACTCTCTCTCTCTCTCTCTCTCTCTCTCTCTCTCTCTCTCTGTCTCTCTCTCTCTCTCTCTGTCTCTGTCTCTCTTCTCACAAACTGGAACAACAACCTTATGGTAACTAAACATTTCCAAGAGGGCACACCCACGTGCATTAATAAAAAGAGACCAAGTCAACATGGTTCAGCCCCTCTTGAGTAGCCACCTGCTTTTTCCTCATCATAGATATGTAGGCCCTTAGCTTTCCCACTGGATCACAGACTGGCAGGGCCATGGTGCTGCTGCAGAGGTTGCCTGATTTATTACTGAGTCGTGGGGCCTGGAGGACCTGCCAGGATGGGGCTGTGTGAGTCATATATCCCTGAGAGTGTGAGGAGGAGACAGGGAGAGGTCTCTTCTCAGCAGTGCTGGGAGAACTGAATACAGCTTTCCTCCATTCCCCGTAGGGATCTCTACTGGGGTGGAGATGGAACCAGACTGGAAAGATTCCCCTATTACTAGGCCACCTAGCTGCTGCCCAGGGGCACATGGGCAGCCCATGAAAATAGGGACAGGGAGTAAGAGGAAATGGCACTCACTAAGTGACCATATAGCTCTGGAAATGTTCACAGGAAGGGTCAGTAGAACAAACTGAAGTTGAGGCTTGTTACCTGGGAAGTCATAGGCAGCTCTGTCTCCCCATCAAGCAGGGTCATCTTGCAATTACTCCAAAATTCACTTGAATTGATTTGGAACTCAGTTGAATATGCATTCAATTTTTTGATATATTGCAACTCTAATCCTCATTAATTTATCTTGCAGATATTACCACAATTGAGTAGCTGAAGCTTAATAACACTGGGTCCATGATCCCTTAACAACTTTCCTGGGATGCATTTTTCCTTGTAGAGAAACTTGGTTTTCAGTTGTACTTTGACGTTTTCAAGTCCCAGCAACTGCCTCTTCTTTCTCAATAGCTGTGATGAACAGATAGATACCTTCCACCCCTCCTGAGTCCTCAATAATTTATTGCCCCCAGCCCTGGCTTCCATCTCTTCCCCTCATGGAGCAGTGCAGGGAAAGCAAAAAGGGTGAGATTGTGTCAGAGCTTCCTGGCATAGGGTAGGGTTTGGGTTTGTTTGTTTGTTTTAACAGCCTTGCTTTGTTTTATGTGATTGTATATTTGGTTACAGCAGCCAAGAGCCTCTGGGCATGATTGCCTACTAATTACAATGAAAAATAATAGTAATGCTTCTCATTACCATGATGATTATGATCAGTGGTGCTGTGCTGGGTGGGCCTGGGCCAGGGTCCAGGACTGGCAGGAATAAGGCTGGGAAGAAAAAGTGGTTCTCCCCAGAGAGAGACTCAGGCAATTATGGAGTGGGAATGGGGGCCACTAAGACAGGGGGCACATGGAGGGTCCTAGTCTGGAGGACTTGGGTCTGTCGGAGTCTTTGGACTCAGCTCTTCTGTGGTTCTGACCTTAAAAATCAGGGAGCTTTGGAAAGACAGTGAATCCCTATTAAAAAAGGGAGTAAAGGGACAGTGTCTCTCAACTTCTTTTTGAGTAGAGATTAAGGACATTGACTTAGGGAACTGCCTGGTATGTATCTCAGTCCTGCCCCTTCATAGCAAGTCGATATGAGTCTACTCTTTGTCTCTAAAGTCAGTTCTCTTAACCAAGGTGCCATGTAACCTGGGGCATGGTACTTAACCTTCGAGCATCATTGTTCTCATCTGTAAAATGGGTGAAGTATCCCATTATGTTCTGTGACAAATGAATGAGATATGTATGCAAAGCACTTAACAGTGCCTGGCACATAATATGCACCAGGAACTATGAGCAGCTCTTCACCGTTATGACAGCCCTTCCTTGTCCTCATGACTTCTCTTTCAATGACTCTTTTGCCCCTCTCATCTGTTCCCACCGTCTGACTTGTCCTACAGTCTGACTTCTGTTCTTTATGGATACTGCAGTCAGCAGCACTCAGAGCCTGCCTCAGGCACTGAGAAGAGCATAGGAAGAGGATGGACATCCACCTTGGACAATACCAGTGTCAGGAGGTCAGGATGTACTCACATGAAAAAGCCTCAAATCCAAGGAGAAAACATATAAATCACTGCACTGTTATATTACACCAAGTAAAACAAAAGAAGCATTAAGTGACTGCACATTTACCAGTCCATGGGTGTTTGTTATGTTCAGTTCTATGCTGTGCCCAAGGTAAACGGAGGCGGCTAGGAGCCGAGGAAGAGTTTCTGGACCTGTTACTACACTACAGACCAATAGTACAGCGTGGCGTGTAATGAAGGGCACCCAGACTCTTATCAGACATTGTGGAGAGGTATAGGGGTGGCCTCAGGGAGTGTCAGACCCCTTCCCTTTCTGGGGCAGCAGACCCTAAGAGCAGTAGGAGTTCGAAGGAGAAGGAGCCCTTGAGCCTGATTTTATGGAAGAAGTAGAACTTGAGCTGGTCAGGAAAGGATGAGGGTAGACATCGGTGGGTAGCATAGGAGAAGGGGACAGTTTGTACAAGTTGGGGATGAAGAGGACAGAGAGAAGATGACATCAGCAGCAGTGCAAGTCTGAGATATATTGTGACAAATGGTGGGAAGAGATTTAGATAGATTCGTCTGGCCGGATATACAGGGTTCCAATATCCAGAGAAAACTTAGGCCATAAGAAGCCACTGCAAATTTTGGCAGGGGGGTGTTGACATCTTTCTTCTCTACACCCCTTCTTCTTCACTGCCCGAATGCCATTGTTCTTTAAGACTCAGCTCAGATGCCTTCTCTAGCAGCTAGCACTTCCTCTCCTGCATGCCCACAGCACTTTATCTGGGTCCTTCTTAAGGCCAGAACCACTTTATGCCCTGTATTGTAATCTATAATCTCTCCTCATAGACACTAAACAACTTGAGAGCAAATCCACATCAGATTCACCTAATGTCCTCATGATGCTTAGAACAGTATTTTGTGTATTGCAGATACCTTAGTTGGGCCTAGTTTTGTTTTTCCCCAGGATTAAAAATTCATTTAAGTTTGCCCAAATAATGAGATTTATCGTAAGAAGGCCAGAAGCAAGCTCACGGATGTAGGAAATGAAATGTAGCCAGGATGCTGAGGAAACGAGCTGGAGGAGCTATCAGAAACCACAGCCCTTTCTTCTTTCAGGGCTGCTTGGTTTCTGCCATCCTTCCTTCTCTTTGTGTTTCTTGGTTTCAGTTTTCTAAAGACAGAATCTGGTCCATTGGCAGGCTCTGGATCAGCTGTTTAATACTGGTATAACAAGCCATGGTTGTACAGTAGAGGGTGTTGGCTCTTTATGGAGCATGCGGGCTGGCTCTTCAAAGGGCCATGGTTGGAGCATGCAAACTGACTAATGTTGTAGATACAGTAGGCATTCAAAAAAGTATTTGCTAAGAAATGGATGAATGAATGAATGCCACTTGAAAGAGATTCGTCTATCAGCTGCCTGCAAGATGGGTTGGAAGGCTGACTCGGAAGTCAGGTAGAACAATTAGGGGACTGTTACATAACTGCAAAATGCAATGATTAGGGCCCACAGAGGAGAAGTGGTTCTGGGGACAGAAAAAAAAAGATGGAGAAAAAAGTGAAAGTGCTAAGGAAAGTACAGGAAGAAAGAATGTGTGCATAGGCAAGATGAAGTTTGTCAAAAAAGACTGCAACCCTTCCATTCTTATTTTCTTTATTCTTCCATCCATCCTCATTTCTTAAGATAAATGTTTACTCTTTTCTCGTAACCTCTAAATGGGGAAAAGCGTGTGTGTGTGTGTGTGTGTGTGTGTGAGAGAGAGAGAGAGAGAGAGAGAGAGAGAGAGAGTGTGTGTGTACCCCTTTAAATGTATCTATTTTAGTCTCAAGGATGTGGAATGTTTCAAGCATTTCCAGGTAGGGGTAGGAGAAAGGGAATAAATGCTTGAAAGAGAGCCCCTAATTTTGAAATCTATAAGTTTATTCTTCACCACCATTAGTGGATCCAAACAGTATTCAAAATCCACTCTTCAACATTAACAGAATTTTTTCTTTCTTTTTAAGCTACCATGTTTCTTGAGAACTGGAAGAGGTTACAGATGCGACTGGGCTACTTCTGGGACCTGACTGGTATAGAAGAGGAAGAAGTGAGTTCTCTTGCTTGCTCCTCTGGGCCCTCGTTTTGCTTTGACTCTGGAAATAGACCATTTTGAGTTGAGATAACCATTTAACATGTGCTGTCACATCAGCCAGTCACTGGCCAGTTCCCACTGTGGCAGCTTTTCTAGCTTGGCTCCATGGGCTAAGCCATGGTTGATATGCACTGATATGAAGAATTCAAGTTCCCTCTTTACTCTTGAGCTGTAAGACATTGGGCTTAGTGGGTAGCCAGATGTCCCAGTGCCCCTCTCTGGGAAAAGAGATGACACAAGAGGCAAGCCTTGTAGTAGCCTTGAGATTTAATCGACATATTTGTACCTCCCATGTCATCAGTTCTAGTGAGCATAAAGCCAGAGAATAGAAATCACTCCCAGTTGACCTAGATCATAGATATGTCAGAATGCCTTTGTGAGCTTACTGAGGGTCAAGGGAGAGGCACATACCAGATGCTGGTTCCTTTGATGCCTATGGAAAAAGAAAGAACAACTAGACCATTATAGTGTAAGCCAGTACACCATGTGTGAAACTGGAGCATAAGCTAAGGGCAAAGGGTAAGTTCTTCTAGAATCTAGTTTTATGGACAAATGACATTTAAAGGATGAGAACAAATCAGATTTCCTTCTGGGCTCTTTGAGAACTAGGGCCCCAGTCTTGATGTCAGTGAGTTGTCAAGGAGCTGTGCGCACATGGTTGCACACTGTTATTTATTCCTCCATGCTACCATTGACTGAATAGCAAATGTCAGTATCAGATAGGTATTCCTGATATTGTGGACATTGTAGGCGAGGTGCTGGAGACAGCATCTAGAAGGACCAGGAGGCACTTCTAGGTGCCTGAGTACCCATTTGCAAAGGTTGGCTGCAAGTATTACAGGGGCTACATGGAGAGCAGGCCTTTTCCACACTCTATTACAGTAACCGATGTGCCTTGCCTTGGGCACAGGACCTCTGGCTTTGTGGCCCTGATGTTTTATGGCCAAGCAAGTGAAATCCCCAATTTAGTTTTGTTCTTGAGCCTATGTGGCTCCCCATATCTGTGGTGGGACATGATTTCTTCTTCTTAATGCTCCAATTGGTCAGCTTGCCTTTGAGCAGATGGGTGTTCCATGACCATGTGTTGAATACATGTGCTTACTCTATCCAGTCCTATGCATTAAGCATTTACCCTGAGAATAACAACATCATGGATTTCATGACAAACAAGAGAATGTACATATGGGTTCTGCCTTCAGAGAAGGTAGAGTGTTCAGATGAGGCCACACTCTCTAAGAGGTCCCAGGTGCACCTGGGGCCTAACTGACAGAAGCTAATTGGACAAGAGAGGTCCACTAAGCTGAAGATTGCCTCACTTTCGGGCAAAAGACTCTTGAGGTCTGGCAGGTCTCCCTTCAACAAACACAAATAGGAACTAAAGGAGTTTTTCAGCAAGTCTCTCCCCTGGTCCCATGGGGAGGCCCCTTAGGTGGGGGCTGCACTGATCCAAGGAGATGGCTCTTGGGTTTGGTTGTTCCTTGGAGATTGGGTGATTATGGTCGGCCTAAAAACACTTGAAAAACATCAGCTCCTGTTGTATTGGTTATGTTTATTAGTCATGTGCAGGTTTCTCCTCTCTAATATCATGGCACATCTTGAGTAAGTCAAAGAAAGACCAGGAGCCTAGCTTGTTGGCTTCTGGAATCTCTGATGTATAAAAGTGATAAGGAAATGTGTGTCCTCTGAGTCTACTGTGAGCCAGCACCTAAATCTCTGCCTAAGAGTTATCTGTAAGTGATGTAGGAACGTGAAGTCCTCACACTTGTAGATATTTGTCCTTGGACGCTGCGGGGAAGGCCGGCCGATGAGGCCAGGTGTACACAGTTAAATTCTCCTTGAAGTAAGTCATGTGTCTTCCTGGTCCTGCACTTGCCTTGATTTGACCATGGTCTTCTTGATTAGTTAGGTGTGCTTTCCCATGCCTGGTGACTCACTATTCACATTTGTATTGCTGAATGGCTCAGTGCTGTCTCTTGAGCACTGGTGTACTTGGCAGTGAGTTACTCACTTAGGCTGTACAGGAAACAGGTCCAGGCAAGTGAGTTTTAAGATTCCCTATGGCCACCTTTAACTTTGATTTTTATTAGCCGCCATTTTAGCCGATAGAATACTGGAACAGGGAGGAAGTTTTGTCGTTGCCCTAACTCCCAGCTGTGGGGCACATCTGTTTCTCCAGCTGGGATCTCACTCATTGGAACTGAAAGTTTGAGGTATGAGGATAGTTGGTGGGATGAACAGATGCATCCCTCTGCCTTTGGTCGAACTGCTATACAAAGCATGTGGCTTCTCTTTCTATCAGCTTCCCAGTTAACATTTCCTCTCTCCTTTCTCAACACCGGCGCCATCCCCAGGAACGTGCCCAGGTTTGGTTTTCAGTGTGGTAACAAGTGTTGTGTGTCCCCTCTCTCTCCCACATTGTGCTCCTGGTCTAGATTCCTTGTGATTGTGTGTGGTGTGGCAATTCATGTCCAATAGCATCTGATCCCAAGTCCTGACCTTACTGTACTTGTGGTCTGGTTATAACCCATGGGCCAGGGTTGCTCTTCTGCCTGTTCACTAACCATTCTTTGACCCTTGGGTTTTAGGAACACTCCCGGCCTGAGTATGAAACCAAAGTTCGAGAGAAAATGCTAAAGGAGAGCGACAAATCAGTTGTCCAGAAATTGGGGACCGATATGACTGAGAGGGAGGATGAGGTAAGATGCTGGTGCTTGTTGCTCATTGTCCTCTTTATTTCTTAAGATTCTGTTGTCCTTTTATTTGTAACCCCTTCATGGACAGACACTGGATTGTGAGAAGGGGTTGACAGGGTGGGACAGGATAGAATGAGAGCATGGCATCTCTTGTCCTGCAGTCAAGCAAGTTTTTGCTATGCCTTGATTTGTCTCTCTTTCTTGGGTGGGTGGTACTGTCTGGACAATATGGGAGAGCAGACTGGAGAAGAAAGAAATGTTTGTCAGGCCTGATATCACATAACTATTTAATAATAATAACCACCACCACCATCCCAACCAGCATAATGACAGCTAACCTTTATGAATGTTTGCTTTAGGCTAGGCAGTGTTCTAAGTGCATTATATTTTATTCTCACAATAAATTTATGAGGTTGGCACTATTGTTATATAAAAGAAAACTAATGAAAAAAATGTGTCCATGGATTAAGTCATTTGCCAGAGATCACCCGGCCAGTACATGGTGGGCGGATCCGGGATTCCCACTCAGGCCCATCTCTGACAGTCTGTGCATCTACCTTCTCTGCATACTGCCTTTCAAGTGCAATGGGGAAGTCAAAGGATAAAACAAGAAATGGCTCTTAGGGCCAGCAGGGGCAAATTCATGCCTGTATTTGCTCGAGCTACTCATACAATGTTCCTTGCATTTCATTTTATCTGGGTGGACCTCAAAACATAGGAATGCAATGGAGAACATGTCTTCTGAGTCATATTTCTGAGTTTTATGGTGGCATTCAGACATTGAAACAGAGCTTCAGAATCTGTTCTGTGATCTGTAAGTACAGTGTGTGTGAGGTGGGGTACGATGCGGGGGCTCCTCTTTGGCAGTGCTTATCTCTTCTGAGTGCCACACTTCCTTGAAACCAAGTGTGTGTGTGTTTATGTCTTTCCTAATCTGGTTCCTGAAAAAAAATCAACAAGATTGAAAATCTGTTGTTTTTGCATGTGTCTTTTCTCCATCTTGGATTTGAATTCAAATTTTATTTAATTTTACATTCTTTAAGTCAAAACCATTCACGTTAACATGCAAATTTATTCAAGCATCCAAACAGAAGAATGTGTTGTTTTTGAGCCCAGAACACTGGCTTTTTTTTAAAAAAAAAAAAAAAAGAAAGAAAGAAAACAGGACTTACACAGAAGAGAAGGAGAGGGTGGCCCTCTGAGTTATGTTTTTCCTAGACAAAAGTTAAGTCCAAGACCACCAGTTGTTCAGAGAAATAATAAATTCATTCTTAGGAAAGACTAATCATCACCACCACCCTCATCAGAGAGCAAGCATTCTGTGCTCTGTCAGTTTCAACAACTCCATACAACCTTCTTTCCCCACCCCAGAGCAATATACAATGGATAATTTTATGGAAATCACATGTAACTTTTATTGACCACTGACTCATTTAATTTTGATTCCATAGACGGGAATGCCAAGGAGCTGGAATTGCATACATCGAGGCTGTGGTTCTAGTATAAACATTGTTTGGATATATATGCATGATAGGTCAAGTAACTCTCAGGAACCATGAATAATTGAAAAACATCTGAATGCATTATGAATGATACATATGTTTATGTTTTAGCATTCAACATCTATTTTCATTACACTGTTGGGAATGCAGAACTCAAAGCATCTAATGCCTTATGGGTACCAGGGGAAAAATGACCTCCTCAAATGAGCAGTATAAGATAAAAATGGCCTGGAATTTGATTGTTAGCATCTTTTTGTGTCCCCTCAGTTCTGTTAATATTGTAAACGCTTCTGTTCTTGCTGTAAATCTAGCCAAAGGTGGGAGATGAGGGAGGAGCACATGTTGCTGCCTGATGCGAAAGATGCTGCTCTTGCCTTTGAGGAGAGTTGCTGTCAATACCTACGGTGCGATGTGGCTCTGGGGCACCATTATGTGTGGGATATTTAGGAAACGTACCTTATTCTGGGGAATAGACAGGGACAAGGAATCAAAGTCTAGCTAGATGTGCTTCTTTCATCCCAAAGGATCACCTTGGCTCTGCTTCCGTTATAACCCTGAGGCTGCATAGCCCCACCTTTCCTTACTTTTCTTTCTTGTGAATGATAAAAAGCTACCATCTATTGAGGCCCAGAGTGGCATAGGAACTTGCTGAAGATCAGATCACTAGTTATGGGAGAGCTAGTAATCAAACTCAGTTCTGCCTGATCCCCAAGGCCAATTGCTCTTTTTTTTTTTTTTTTAAATTTTGAAGATATAAAGTCCATTTAAAAAAATATCTTTATTGAGATTTAATTCTTAAACCATAAAATTCACCCATTTAAAGTATACAGTTCATGGTTTTTAGTATATTCACAGATTTTTGCAGTCATCCCACAATCTAAGTTTAAAATACTCTATACCCAGTAGTTGTTACCGAGCTGTGGGAAACAACTAATCTTTTTTTTGTTTCTATAGATTTGCCTATTCTGGACATTCATGTAAATGGAATTGTGAAAAATATGGTATTTAGCTTCTTTTACTTTGCAAAATGTTTTTATGATTCATCCATATCATAGCTATGTCAGTACTTAATTCTTTTTTCTTGCCAAATGATAGTCCACATTTTGGATATACTTCATTTTATTTATACATTCATCAGTTGATGGGCATTTGACTGTTATAAATAATGCTGCTATGAATATTGTGTATAAGTTCTCATGTAGATGTATGTTTCATTTCTCTTGGATATATACATAAAAGTGGAAATATTGGCTCATATGCTAAACTCTATGTTTAATATTTGAAGAAGTGCCATACTCTTTTCCAACTAGCAATGCATGATGGCTCCAATTTCTCCACATCCTCACCAACACTTGTTGTTATCTTGTTGTTATCTTTCTTTTTTATTTTATCTATCCTGAGTGAAGTGATAATTTATTGTAGTTTTAATTAGAATTTCCTTAATGACTAATGACGTTGATCATCTTTTCATGTGCTTATTGGCCATTTGTATGTCTTCTTTGGAAAAATGTATATTCAAATCCTTTGCCAATTTTTAAAATTGGTTAATTGTCTTTTTATTATTATGTTGTAAGAGTTATTTACGTAATCTGGATACCAGTCTCTTATCAGGTTGTATGGCTGACAAATATTTTGTCATTTTATGGGTTTTTAAAATTTTTTATTGATACAATTTGAAGCACAGAAGTTTTTGATTTATCTGTTTGCCTTTTGTCACTTCTGTTTTTGTGTTATCTAAGAAACTATTGTTTAATCAAAATGTCATAGCAATATACTCCCAGGTTTTCTTCTAAGGCTTTTATAGTGTTAGCTCTTATGTTTAGGTCTGTGGTCCATTTTGAGTTAGTTTTTATGTATAAGTAAGGGGTCCATTTTTTAAATGTGAATATTCAGTTGTCCCAGCACCATTAGTTGAAAAGACTATTTTCCCCATTTAATTATCTTGACACCTTCATCAAAAATCAACTTACCATAAATGTTAGAGTTTATTTCTAGGCACTCAGTTCTACTCCATTAATCTATATCTCCATCCTTAGGCTAGTACTATATTGTCTTTATTACTTTACATGTGTTTTGAAATCATTTTGAAGTTTTGAAATTGGGAATGTGACCGTAATGTTGTGCTTTCTCAAAATTATTTTGACAACTCTAGATGCCTTGCATCTTCATATAAATTTCATGACCAGTTTATCAATTTCTGGGTAAAAAAACACAACCTCGGAATTTTGATAATTTTTGATAATTTAGGAAGTATTGACATCTTAACAATATTCAGCCTTTTATCTATGAATATGGTATATCTTTTCTGTATATCTAACTTTTAAAATTTCTTTCAGTAATGTTTTATATTTTCAGGGTACAAGTCTTGCACATCTTTTGTTAAATTTGTTTACAATTATTTTATCCTTTTTGATTCTATTACAGATGTCATCATTTTCTTAATTTCAGTGTTGGATTGTTCATTGCTAATATATAGAAATATACTTGGTTTTTGAATATTGATTTTGTATCCCACAACTTTGCTGAACTCATTTATTAATTCTAATACTTTTTAGTGGATTCCTTAGGATTTTCTGTTTAGAAGATTATGTCACTTGTGAACAGGGATCATTTTACTTCTTTCTTTTCTACTCTAGATGCATTTTATTTTTTATTTTTTGCTAATTGCCCTTACTAGAATCTCTTGTACAATGTTGAAAACAAGTGATGAGAATGGACTTTCTTATCTTATTCTTGATCTTAGAGAAAAAAAATTAGCCTTTCACCATTAAGTATGATGTTAGTTGTGGTACACTGCCTTTTAAAACTCTCATATGAGGCTTCCCTGAGAATAATTCACATCATGTCAGCATAATGTTGATCTGAAATGAGATGTTCTAACTGTAATGAGGTGATAATGAGGTGATGTCCACATTGGGGAGGGACAATTTGGTAAGACCCAAAGGTTGGCAAGTTCATGGTGCTTTCACCAGATAGCTGAGTTTTTTTCTGGGTCTCTTCTGCCCAGTTATTACATGGGGAGATTGGATTATAGCCTCTGCAGTCCTGAGAGTTGGCTGTTTTCTTTGCTGATGTGAGAAATGATGTTGGTTTTTAGCCCATAACTTTGGGGGGGGCGGGTAGACCGATTTATCTTAAATGGTGATAATTTGGCTATTCTTATATTTATTCCTGTGATTTTCAAGGGTGTGGCATAGTGAGGATGGTAATAATGATAAAATTACAAGAAATATTTATGAAGTGCTCACTATGTACAAGGTTTTATAGGTTTCATTTCACTTAAATCTCAAAACTTTATTATCTCTAGATCATACATGAGAAGACTAAGGCTTAGAGAAATAAGTTGCTCAATGTTAATATGCGGCAGAGCCAGAGTATGAGCCAGGAGGTCTTACTTAACAGTAATGCTCTTGACCACTAAACTTCTCTGTCTTTCAAATGTTTTCCCTCAACAGATCCTCATATACTTTTCAAAAATCATGCTTGATACTCCTTCGTTAT